TATATATATATATATATATATATATATATATATATATAATATTTCCCAATAAATCTGCTCACAATTGAACTCCTGCGATTTTAATTTTTTATTTTATTTTTGGGAGTACTTTACATGAAGCCCCTTCAAAATTAAAAAAAAAAGCTTCAATGTTTTCTTTAAATTTCTTGTAAAAATTGAATTAAATACCTCTAGAGATGTCATAGATCTGATTTTCACTGTGAACTACGAAGTTACAAAAATTACAAAAGTTTCAAACTATTGAACCCCCTCGTACATTATTGAAGATAGAGGCTTGTCTTCAAATGAAATATATTGATGACAACTAGTTATCACGCGAACATGGACTTACGGCATAAAACTATGGGATACAGCCAACAAAAGAAACCTGGAGATCTTGAGAGTATTCGAAACAAAAACATTGAGATATTTATGCTACGCGCCGATGTTTGTAATCAACAATAATTTTGTACATCTCAATTATGAGAGAGACTACCAATGAGCGAAGTAAGAGGCATCAGACCATACTGAGCTACCATACGAAACTACTTTCTCGACATAGAATATTCACCCTAACATTAAATTCGTAGTGAAATATAATGAAAGGAATAATATATTGTTGTTGATTGTTAGTGATTGCTAAGGTCATTAGTCTCGTAAGTGTAGAGCTTTTTTTTTCTCGGGAGGTGGCGGCGATCTTCCCCCATTGGACTGTACAATACGACACCGACCTAACGTCGGCCAGCGGGGTTTTCCCAATCAGGTATCTCCCATCGAGGGCACCGCCCCAGCCGGACAAGGTCTAAGCCCCCGACCGGTCTCCTGGAATGTGTGTTGGTGGGGGCATTATAAAGTAGGTGTATGTAAGTACGGGGTGAGGATTGGACAAGAAAGAGAAGAGAAAGATCGCGCGCGGTCCGTGGTTCGTTTGTTACAATATTGCTCCGGCATTCTCTTTTCTGAATGCACGGAAAACTACCGATCAGAGCAGCCGGCCGCTAGACTTCTCCTCCAGACAGTAACTGAATTCGACCTAACTGACAAACTAGTGTCGAAAATACTGCCACCTTGGGACCTCCGACCAGAGACTCTGCAGCGACATCGGTCGATCCCCTGAGCCACCTCTGCCGGGTTCTTGTGCCAAGAGCATGTCGTGCCCCCGTTCGACGCATACAGGTGAATCTCACAGGCCTTCACCTTGCAGCCTCGCGGCGCCACCGCAGGTTCGTGCGGGAGCTCTCAACGACTGCTCAAACGTTACGTATTCACTTACGCACTTATTCTTAGAATTTTCAACGATTTACTTGTCGGGCACAGTCGCGACCTTCCCGCTGCTTCATGTGCCGATGTCGGAAAGTAAACAAGTCATGCATGTGTTCACCAGTAGTATCAGTCAAATAAGTTGAGGAAAAGACGTCACCGGTGGAACAATGGGGTGTTAAGACCGATGAAAAAACATGGCGCAGAAACACCAGCAATGAGACTGTGTCAACTTCAGTAGTGTCAGCAATAGTTAGTGGTTCGTTGAATTACGCTTGATAAATGAAAACACTTTTGAATGGAACACTTGGAGTTTTGCGGGCCAATGTATGTCTGAGAAGTTATATTTTCATTATCAACCCTCCATGAGTAATTTAAATTCTGTGAAAGTGTTGAATTAAAGTTTCCGTAAAGTTTCCATCCCTAATTCAACTTAATGCCGTAGATGGTACAATTAAGAATGTTTGTAGTGGTCGCTGTATTTGAATTTCAGCAAGTTCAGTTCAGTATTAAATATTCCGTTTCGTTTTAACGCAATATAAACGTATATAAAAAACCGTTTCGTTTTCGAGTAGCTAATACTATATGCTGTAGCTAATACGGTTACATTATCAATACGATGAAATAATTATATTTTAAACTTGCTTGAGAACACACAACTGCTTAATTTATTCAAAAGTGGAGGTATACACATCCATATTCAAAGACTCATTGAGAACATCTGCCTCCCGTTTTAACGGAAATGGGTGGCAAGAAAGCCGGAGGTGCAATATGCTTGGTGGACGTCTGGCTAACATCACAGAGCAGAATCACGGCCACTCCACGTGGGCTTTGTAGTGGACAAAGCGACTTCGCGGAAGGTTTTCTTGGGGTTCTCCCATTTCCTCTTCCTTCCACTCCACTGTTCCGTCCATTTCCTCCTCAACAACACCATCTATATTCATTTCCAGGTGAAGCAACCCAAGTTCATTTACTGGAATTATTATTATAGTGAAAGGAATATTAGAGGAATTTCGTCTATGCTATAATTAAGTTTCAAGAACGTTGCAAGAAAGTCACAGCAGTGAAGTGAGCAGCAAAAAAATTAAAACTACATCCCTGTAAATCTATTACATTATCATATACACGATAAAGATTAAATGCACAAAGAAACTTTGTCTCTCTGAGATGTCGATTGCACCAACGATCCACTGCTATGGTATATTGCTGCTGGACGTGGGAGCAATTTGCCGTGTGACGTTTTTCGCGTTTTTCGACGAATCTCGTGCAAACTGCTCCTTGTTCATTCGCAATCCCTGCTTCCTCAGTTGTACACCACGCGTTGCGTAAACTGTATAGAAACGGTCAGGTCTGGTCAGAGATTTGCATTCCTCAATGCGAGGCCATTTAAAGTGACAGTTGTAACTCGCGTTGGACTCTCGCGTTTTCAGTGTGACCAACGGAACGGTCTCTGTCTTCTCTCTGGCGGTGACCACTCAAGGAAAGTCGCAGACCCCACTGTCCACACACAGCATACAAAACGTTACTGAAGATATTAGAGTTTCATATCATTAAACTCCAGTTATTTCTTGCGGATTATATTAACCGTTATCGCAGCAGCTGTATCTGTAATGTTCACGTCTTCTAGACACACTTCTCGAAAAGATAATGCGCTTTCGCTCGGCCAATGAAACTGTTGAAAATAATCTCAGTTGATACAGCGCCGAGAAACACACATTACGAGAAAAAAAGCAAGAGCAGAGGCCCGTCTGGCAGCAGCAGAAAATTATCTGCCCCGCATCTCCAACCCGAGGCTCTCGTTCGCCGAGACGCTCGCGCGCCGCCTGCCCTCGCGCACGTGACCCACCACGAGGCAGCGCCCTGGGGAGGGGGGAAATCGACGCCTGGGGCAACCACCCCTCAGACCCTGGCAGGGGGAGGGGGAGGAAGAACAAGGAGAGGAAACGTCATGAAGACCCAACGCGAGCTGAAACTCAAGAGGGGAAGCGGGAAAAGAAGAATGGCAGGCAAGGAAATGATCGGAGAGGATTTAGATGAAGGAAAAGAAGGTAAAGAAAGAGTACGATAGCTGAATGAAGAGATGGGGAAAGAAGAAAATGGTGAATGACTCTTAAAAGGAGAAACAGAGAGGGAAGAAAGAAAATTTGAGGAGGAGGAGGAAGAGACAAAGGTAAAACAAAAGGGAGAATAGGAGGAGAAAATGAAGAAGAAAATGAATGAAGAAAAAGAGGAAAGTCGAAGGAGGAGAGAACGGAAATCCGACAGAAAACAAGATGAAGAAA